ATTGAAACTCATTTAAACTCATAAAAGTTAAAAGAGTTTAGAAAAGAGTACATTCTAGAATACATTAATTTTTCAAGAGGCTTACCAATGTTAGATAAAAGAGAAATAGGTCTATAGTTAGTACATAAAAAAATAGAGCCATTTTTGAAAAGTGGAATAATACAAGATAATTTTAAAATATTAGGAGAAATCCCATTCATAAATAAGATATTAAATAGTGTAAAGAGAATATTTGAAAATTCGTAGTAAAAATCAATTAGAATGTTTGCAGGAATACTGTTTGGACCTAATGATTTTCTCGGTTTCAATTTAGATATAAGAGATGAAATTTCAGGAATGTTTGTTGGAGATAAGAGTAGACTATGAAAGTTTGGATATTAAGAACTTTTGATAGTTGACGTAAGACGAATGAATATTGGATTTAAGTTTATGAGCAACATTTGTAAAAAAAGTGTTAAATTTTTCTGAGATTAGGTTCAGTTAAATATCATCTTCTAAATTTCTAAACAGTTGGGAGATAAGCTGCTATAATTTTTGACATTTATTAGATTATTAATGCCTTTCCAAATTTCGCAAAGAAATTTTTTACATTATCTGAAAAGAAATTTTTAAAATGAATTTTCTTGCTAAGTTTAATTAAAGTAATTATCATGAATTTATATCGCATAAAAATAGTTTTAAATGTGTTTATATTTATTAAATCTTTTGATCTTAACATTTTTTTTTTGAAAAAGATTGCTATTTGAATAGATTTTATGATTCCTTTTGTAATCCATGGTTTAAATCGACGTTTGAAGCTCCTAATACTAGTTTACATTTTAAGTGTTCATACTACGTACTATCTACATTATTACATTACAAAGTGAATTTATGGTTTATAGGTTATTCCATATGAAAATAATTTACTTTTTAAAGTGAAAATAAATTTGTTTACCAACTCAGATTTAGTTCAAATTTTTTCAATCAACAGATTTTATATATAAATAAAAATCAACCCTCCAAATTTTAGCTTACTTGATCTATACATCAATAAGCAACAATTGAAAATATATGACCAAACTCTAGAATAATTAAGTATTAAGGGCTAACAGTAAACTTTTCTGATTTTGACATAACTTGTCCACAAGAGAAAACTTTACTTCTAAAAAATATTTTTTCCCACACCTTAAATCATTGTGATATCAATGAAAATATTTTATTAACCATCCATTCGGCTAAAATTTATTTAGCCTTGTTACAGCATTAATTTAAGTCATATAACAGTATTTTCAAATATATTATTTATCAATTGATTTTCATATTATTATTATTATCAAGGAATTTTTATGCTATATTATCTCATATTCTTCAGCTTTGTTTTAATTTTCACAACTTTGGTGTTTTAAAACGATCTTATATCCTTCATGTTTAAATTTTTATATTTTAGCAGGTAACATTTTCAATGATTTTTTTTGTGTAATGTTTTTTCCACTATCATATATTATTTAATTTTTGTTACATTTACAATCTTACATTTTAGATTAACAAAATTCAAATGAAGTATCTATGACAATGTTAGAGTTTATTGAAAACTTTATTAGACTTATTGTGTATAATTTATAAAACTTATTGACTTTATAAGACTTATTGTGTTTTATTTATTTTAAAAAGGTTTTTAATAGGGTATATTGCAATTTGATTGTCTTTGGTTTATTTATGCTGGATGCACATATTTGGTTTTAATTGTCTTAGAGGGAAATTTATTATTATTTTTGTTTACATACTTGAGTTATTTTAGTTTTGCTTTGGTGTTTTCATTAGAATTTTAATTTACTGTGAGTTCATGTTTTCTACCAGTGGTGTGGTAAATGTATTATTTATTTATTTTTTTCATTCTTAGGCTTAAAATATTTGTATACATACTTTTTATTTTGTATTAAATTTTTTGCTTTATAAGTTTTTGTTTAGTGATATTTGTTGTATATCTGTTTATTTTTGTTTAAAAAAAAAAAAAAAATTTAATTGAAAGTACTGTTTGAGAGCATTGTCTGTCTTATTGTTGCCATCGTATTTGTATATTTTTGAATATTCATCTTATAATCTTTATTTTTGTCTTGACAACCAACAAAATATGCTTTGTTTGAAAAATAAATCCCTTTTATTCTAATGTACCTCCGTTTTCCCTTAAGTGTTGATTGATTGTTTGTGACCATACAGCAAATTTATGTGCATAAATATTTTAAATATTAGTTCTTTTGTGTAACTACTGGTATGCTTAAATTTTGGTTCTTTTACTTATGTTACCATAAGTTTTTGTACTTATGTTACCATGAGTACAAAACAACCTGTGATAAAAATTAAAACTACGCATTAAAAAATAAATAAAAACCTACAGCTTGTAAAAAAAAAATTTGTTTATAAATTATAGACTTCTTTTTCAACTATAGCTGATTGTAGTGTAACCAGGAACATGGTGGAAATCGAACTCAGAACCTCTCACTTACAAATCACTACACCATTACATCATTAATTAAGAAGATTTCAAACTAAAAGTAAAAAGAAAAAATAGTACAAGTATATTTATAAAGTGGACTACTATATAAATATACTGGTATTATTTTACTATTACACTACTGTACTGCATAAAAAAAAAGCTACAGTAGTGCAGTAAATTAATTACATTTTTATAGCACAACTTTAGTGTAATATATATATATATATATATATATACATATATATATTTATATATATATATATTTATATATATATATATATATATATATATATATATATATATATATATATATATATATATATATATATATATATATATATATATATATATATATATATATATATATACTAAAATCTTGTTTTTATAAATATAGTATGAATTGCTAAATCTGCAGAATATTATGTTTCTGGATTTTAGTATTTTAGCATGAGAAATAGGAAAAAAAAAGCCTGAGATTTGGAAACTTAAAAAAAAAAAATTTGAGAGCTGAAAGCAGTAAAAAAACAACATAAAAAAATGGACGCTGAAAAAAACAACAAAAGCCTGAAAGCTAAGAACTGAAAAAAGCCTGAGTGCTGAAAGCTGAAAAAAAAAAAAAAAACCTAAAAGGTAAGAGTTGGAAAAAATAGCCGGCAAGCTGGTAGCTGAAATAAAAAAAAACAAGCCATGGAGCTAATGGCTAGAAAAAAAGGCCTGAAAGTTTTAAACTGAAAAACAAACAAAAAAAAACAAACAAAAAAACTTAAGATTGGAAACTGGAAAAAACAAAAAAATAACCTGAACACTAGAGGCTTAAAAAAAAAAACGAGACCTAAAATCACGAATAATAATATAAGCCATAAAACTGGAAGCTAAATAAAAGTTGGAAGCTGGAAAAAAAAAGCTTTAAAAATGGAAGCTAAAAAAAAAAAGCCTGAAATTTTAAAGAGGGTTAAAAAACAACTGAACCATGAAAGCCTACTAGAGTCTAAAAGCTGAAGGCTTGAAAATGAAAAAAATTTGAAAGCAAGAAGCTGGAAAAAAAATATATAGCCTAAAAAATAGAAGTTTGAAAAAAAAGAGAAATAAAAGCCATAAAACTGAAGAATGAAAAAAAAAGTTTTAAATTGACCATTCTGCCAGTGCTTTTTTGTGCGCTGGCATTAATTTTTAAACATTGAACTTCAAACGGTGGACTAATGAAAGGGAAAAAGGGAAAAAAATAGAAGCTGGAATTAAAAGTCCTAAAAGGTGCATGCTGGGAAAAAAAATCCTTAAAGCTGGAGGCTAGAATAAATAAACAATCCGGAGAGCTGGAAGCTTGAAAAAAAAACACATTCTTGAAAGCTAAAAGCTAGAATAAAACAGGGGAAAAAAAATCCTAAACCTGCTGGGAAAAAAAAAAAAAAAGCCAGAGAGCTGAAGACTAGAAAAAAAAACAACCCTGAAAAATGAAGCTGGAAAAAAAAATCTTGAAAGGTAGATAAAAAAAACCCTGAAAGCTGAAAGCTTTCAGGTATTTTTTTCTTTCTTTTCAAGCTTCAAGCTTTCTTTTTCAGGACTTTTAATTCCGGTTTCGATTTTTTTATTTTTTTCCCTTTCATAAGTCCACTGTTTGAAGTTCAACATTTAAAAATTAATGTCAGCGCACAAAAAATAAGAAAAAATGCCTTTAAGTTGGAAGATGGAAAAAAAAACCATAAAAAATGGAAGTTAAAAAAATAGCTTAAAAGCAGAAAATAGGATTAAAAAAAAAGCTCGTAAGCTGGAAGCTAAAAAAAAAAAAAAATAAATTAAATCGGGAAAAGAATAGCCTGAAAGTTGGAGCTATTTTGATGAGCTAAATGATGAATTTAATTACAAAAATATATCCAGGAAAAATACTTTGTTTCATTGTGCATAAATAACTGAAAAAGGTTCTGCATATAAAGGTTATATGCGAAGACAAATAAAAGATCACTACATCTTTAGCAGTATATTGAATTTGCAGCAAAACCACCTAATTTAAGTTCATTGAGAGTGTTTGCTTGAGTTATATAATTTTTACCCTGAAGTTAAATTTGTATATGTATACATTCTCTTCTTTTAATTGATTTTAGTCCTTTTTATTTTCACTTTTATGTAATAACTTAAGAATCTTTTTGTTATACTTTTAAATTACAAAAGCACTTGAAAAAAACTTAAGGTCTTCTTTTATATGGTAATTGTCTATAGATATCTTTTTTTTGGTATTGATCTACACCTATATTTTTAATTTATTTTATATGAAGTATTTTTATAATTTGCAAACTGTAAAGCTTCTTTTTTGTTTAGACAAAGACAAAATAATTATTTATAAATAATATTTTTTCAATGTAAAAAGTAATAATCTAACTTTTCAAGAATTTTGCTAAAAAAAAATGATAAAGTTTGCAAATGAAAAGGGTTTACAGCCTTTCTTTTGATAAAGATGATCAAATAAAGTATATATTATAAGACAAATACAAGTAAAAAACAATTAAAATATAAAAAACAATTTTATACTGACCTCTGATTAAAAATTTATGTTTGAAATTTTCTCACAAGTAATATTGTACAGCTATTTGAAATTCTCAAAGAAAAACATGAGCATTACCATGGTTACTAAATGCAGTCTAGTCATTAAACTCTCTAGCCATTAGCAGCCTCTAGAATATAAACTACTTGTTTTAAAACTAACAATGATCATTAAAAATATATACATGCAATGAAAATAACAGACAGCAATAAAAATCGTGAAAATAAAGAAAAAATATCAGATAGTTATGAAAACCAAACACTAAAATATTATTTCTGGCCTCATAAAATTTATTGAGAATATAATGATGATGATGATGGCGATGATGATGATGATGATAATGATGATGATGATGATGATGATGATGATGATGACGATAACATGATGATGATGATGATGATGATGATGATGATGATGATGATGATGATGATGATGATGATGATAATGATGATGATGATAACATGATGATGATGATGATGATGATGATGATGATGATGATGATGATGATGATGATGATGATGATGATGATGATGATGATGATAACATGAAAAACTAAAATATTATTTCTGGCCTCATAAAATTTATTGAGAATATAATGATGATGATGATGGCGATGATGATGATGATGATGATGAAGATGATGATGATGATGATGATGATGATGATGATGATGATGATGATGATGATGATGATGACAAAATTGATTTATTATATTGATGATATAATGTGAGAAATATCTAATTTGATGATGAATTCATACAAGAGTTGAATTTAGTGATTGTTATAGATCATTCTGTTTTCAAAGTTTCAAAAAAAAATTTTGAGATTTTGAAAAAAGAATAATAAATTACTCTCTGTTTTATATACATTTTTTTGATAATGTTTACATTATACTGTTTGACTTCATTATTTGGACCACACATATTATCTGGATCAAACTGTTTTCAAAGTTTTAAAAGAAAAATTTGGAATCTTGAAATACTGTTTGACTTCATTTTTTATTTTTGTCCGATGAAATCACTACTAATGTTATTATTCAACTTTGTTAATCATACTGCAGTTTTAAAGTTGTTCTTCTCAACACTTTTCTTTATTATCAGTAACTTCTAGAATTTCACAGAATCCTGAGTTGCTTCTCATATATCGATCTATATATCCATTGCAAAGGTAAAAATATACCTAGTGAATTTGTTCTATTATGTTTTTAAAATTCCAACCTTGGAAATGTCAAGGTTGAAAGTGAATATTTTAAATATATTACTTTGGTAATTAAAACTTAAGCATTTTTCAGTTATGTGTTGCAAAACAAATGAGATGATGTAATGATTGCATATTATGATGCAAAACAAATGAGACGATGTAATGATTTCATGATGTATTGCAAAACAAATGAGATGATGTAATGATTGCATGTGATAATTATTATTACAAGCCATGCTCATCATAGACATTATCAACAGTAAAAGTTTATGTTAGCTGTTTTATTAACTAGACACCTAAAATAAAAACTTCGATAATTAAATTTTGATATTCCAAGAATTTATTGGACCTTTTGGATCATGTTCTGCAATTTTAACCTAAATTGTTCTCTGAACCTCCTTTAAAATCTCCTTAAAAAACTAAACTGTGTTCTACTAGATAGTGACTGCAGTGAGCATGAGATACTAACATGTTTACCATAGTATTCCAACATGTTAAACCAAATAATTCCATTACTCTATGCACGAGATTGTATCAAACTAAAAGAAAGAAATCTTGAAAAAACACTCTGTGGTTCTTACAATGAAACCAACTTGTTTATAGTTATGTTTTATTTACTAAAACAAAATGTTGTTAATTGTCTTTATCTTCATTTAGAAAAAGTTTATGAAAGAATGTTATATCAATGACGAATAAGTTTATTTGAAAAATGTTATATCAATGACAAACGAGTTTATTTGAAAAATGTTATATCAATGACAAATGAGTTTATTTGAAAAAGAATCAAAGTCATGTGACCAGTTAGCCAAATAATAAACATGTTAGACTATTTACAAAAGGATCCAATAAACAAAGTTGTAAAAATAAATATATTTACTCATAAAACTCTATAGATCTTTCCAAAGCTTGCTGAACATCTATGGGATAATCTCCAGGATCGCAATTTCTGACTCTTCCTATATGTTTGCTTTTGTTTAGTAAATGTTTCTAAGAATATTTTAATTTAGTATACAACATAGCATCAACAATATTTCCAAATGTATTATATGTAATAAAAATACATACATGTATATTCTTTATTACAGAAAATATTTGATGAAACAAAGCATAAAAATTTAATAAAACAAGAAATAAAATACTTAATGGAAACAAGACACAAAATTTAGTCAACAATAAAAAAAATTAATAACAATATGTTGTAATTATGTAATAAAAATAAATTTTATACTTTTCAACTTTTGATTATCACTGTTGCAAAAATTCAGTGTTCACCTTTTACAATAGTAATTTATTTTTAAGAAAAAACATTTCTCAAACAAAAATGTTTTCATTACCTTTCAGAAGAATATAATCATGACACATGGTTTTTTTGTATCACGTGGAAGTATTTTTCTGATGGCTGTGCAATGTAACTTTAAAACTTTCAAAACTTATCTTTCAATTTATCTTATCGCAGCATAGACTTTGATTTAAATGCTGAATGAGTATTTTTTGCTACCAGCTACAACAAATCTTTCTGTGATGGTATTTGTGCGACTGTTAAAATAGTAGTTTGTTAAAAAAGTTCAAAACAAGTATCTAATGGGCAGATTTTGGGTGTTAAATATAACATAAACAGATTTTAATGTTGATCTATTTTTTGTGTAAATTCAAAATAACAGGCATTTGTTTTAAGTTACTTTTAATGGAATTGACAAGAACAGTTCCAAAACAACAACGATCATCATTTTATTCCTATTAGTTCAAATACAATAAGTTATAGACAAAAAATGTGAATACATTAAATTATTCCAAAAAACAAAAATAAGGAAGAGATTTCATTTAACATTAAAAAATTAGACTATACTGCATGGTTTTATAATGAATTCGGTAGATAGAGATTGTAGAAGATACTAAATTAAGTTAATTAAATAATTAACTTGATATTAAAGATTGCAAAATTTATAACAATTTAAATAAAAAAATCTTCAATAATTATAAATAGTTTGCAAATAGGTGCACAGTTTTAATCAAATACATATGAAATTTTGAAGGAATTTTAAAATAATAGAGTGGATTGTTAATTATGGTCTTAATAATTATTTTAGATAGAGATATATGTCAAAAAAACAACAATATAATTATCACATTAAATAATATTTTTACGAATATCTATTTTATTTGAAAGAAAATAGAATGCTCATCAATACACGTTTTTTATATTTAAGAAGAGTTTTATACAAGATAGTAATCTTTAATATTAAGTTGATATTAAAGATTGCTAATAAACTTATCTGAAATGTAAAAGTGATAAAAATTTTGTGTGTGGATGATTTCATATGGAACAGGGTGTCTGCCAATATTCAAAGGTGGATTTCCATAATTTTATCCTGATCCGCTTGTTTTTTTAGATTTAATTTAGAGACATTCTATGGAATGACCCATCATTATGATGGGTCATTTAACAGAATGTCTGCTAGATCAGAGAAATTGGGTTATGTTTACAAAAATCAGTAAGAAATCAAAGATAATAGCTCTTGGTCAAACTTACGTTATTAGGTAAAGTTGTTTATTGTACACGCAACATTAAACTTCATTTGACAGATATGATGATTATTAAAACAGACAGATCATTTAAACAGACAGATCATTTAAAAAGATAGAATGATGATCATTTAAAAAAAAAAAAATTATATACAGTTGTCATATGTTTGCTAATAAAATAGGTTTAACGTACACTTTGATGCATTAACAAGGAATTTTACAAAAGTATCAGACTTTTGTAAAATTATTGTTTTGTTTTTGTTTTGTTTTTGCAGACTTAGTCAGCAAATACAAAACAAAAAGGTACTAAAATTAGAAATAGGTGAGCATCAATAATGAAAATATAAGTTAATCAATTTAAACCCAAGAATTTTTATAAGTATATTATTACCTAATGATTTTTATTTACATGATTACAAACAATTCAATATTGAATTTTTGATCTTTGGATAAAGATTTTGTTGTTTACTTTAAAAAAGCCGCATGTTGGATTTATTTAATTATTCTTTTTATCACCCAAGTTACGGTAGTCTCTCTTTTCAAACCCCTATTACGACATTGAACCTCTTTGACGTTTAAAAACTGGGGTATTTAGAGGATAGGCAAATTGGGATATATAGAGATAAGCGCATCGCAGCGTATATACATCTACTAATTTATATAGCTATAGGCACATTGAGTGGCATATAGCTATAGGCACATTATGATTGATTATTATAGAACACGTGATACTGATTCTAAGTCAAATAAAAACATAGGTCTGAAAACTTGAGGGAAGTACTCTAATTTAATGTTAAAGTATAAAAATCTACATTAAAAACGCTATAATATTCTACCATCTCTTTAAAAACATTTTAGCACTGTTTTCAAAATTTAAGAAATTAATTTTTTAACTACGCGACACGGGTTTTATTCTCGTTTTCTATTTTTCTAAAATTAATTACAAATGTACATGCATCGACTGACAAATAGGAATCGGCGCAACTAAAAGTACATACATTAACTGACAAATAGGGATCGGCAAAAATAAATGTACATACATCTACTGACAAAATGGCGAAATTAAATGTATATGGGAATTAAATGTACATGATTTGGGTCAGGGTTTGGTTGGGGCAGGAAATCAATAATAAATACGTTTTAAACATTGCGTTCTCTACTGCAGGCCTATTCATCGCGCAACCGAATTTTTTAGTGGAGGCCTACTTTTTTACGGCGAAAAAGATAATAACTTCGTAATTTTAAAACTAAAAAGTAATTTTAATTCTCGGTATAGCCTAATTTTTTTTTTTTTGATGAAAAAAAAAAATATTAGGCTATACCGAGATAATAATAAACAATTTTAATAAAAGGCAAAGAAATTTTATCAAATTTCAAATTTTAAACATTTAAATAATTATATTAATTCAAAGCAATTGCCAAAAACATGGGTTGAACACTTCAGATAATGAACCTTCCAATACCACTGCTCTGGATAATAACCTCAATATTTCTTATTAAATTGATAATAAAATTAGTGAATTTTAAGCTTTTTCTGATAACGATTCAGATAAAAGTGATAAGAATATTTAAATAGATGAACTAGAGGGTGATTTAGCATTTTGATCTTCTCAGCATAATATCACACGAAATTTCACTGATTTAATTTGCTGATCTATGACCAGAGCTGCTTAAATGTTGATGCATCCTAAAATTTTATTCAAATTTGTGTTTTTTATGTATTTAAATAAAATTCATTATATATTGTATTTTTTATGCTATATTTTATATGATCTCATCATCATTGTCATTATCCTCCACCTTTATTTTCCTTTATTCTATATATTTATTCAACCTATATTTTAATTTGGCTTCGAGTAAAACAAATACTTTACTAAGTTTTAATTATTATTTGTTGACTAAAGTATACACTTATTAACTCCGTTAATGTTTAGCCTTAAATTATTTTTACTGAACATCGTAATTTCTTAAGGTATTATTTTGTATTTCATGTATACTTTTTAATGTATACTTTAAGGTGTTTATAATATACCGTAAAAATTTCTATAAACTATATTTTAACATTAGACTTATGTGTTAAGAGTACAGAAGTAACCTGATGAAAATTATGATAGTGACTCACAAGATTTTATTGAACATCAAGAATTAAAAAATTCTTGTCTGCAGAAACCTGTCTGTGTATTAAGGTGGTATACCCCTCAGAAATATCAAATTTTGAAAAAAAAATTTTGTTGTTTATTTTTATTTAAAATTTATTATAGAATCATATTTTAAAAACCATTTTTTAAAATTCAGTATATAACTTGAGGAAAACAAACTTTAATGATCCTTACATTTTTAAACGCCCTTGACAACCCCCATAGCAACGCATTAACAATTTTCATTTGGCCAAGAAATTTACAAACATTGTTTTAAATTCTAAAATTTACAAACATTGTTTGTAAATTTTTTGTTACAAACAAATTCTAAAATTTACAAACATTGTTTATTTTTATAATATTTTTTTGGATATTTTTCTCTTTTTTAATTTTTAAAGTCTTTATTTGCTAACTTCTATTTTTCAATCTCCCGTCACAGTTATTTCATTTTCTAGTAATCAGTTTTTAACCAAATTTTCAGCAGTGATGTGTTTTTATATGATGTATGCAATCTGCCAAAAGTTAATTATAAAACATTTCAGATTTTGAGATATTGCTGTTTCAGCACTAAAAAATTGCTTATTTAAAAATCTTCATAATCCATGTAGTGCTACATGGAAACTAATAGTCAGATTTAAAAACTTTTGGCAGATTGCATAGATCAAACTGTTTTTTATAATTGGGCCAAGTTTTACTTTAAATACTCGATTAGATTTTGAGATATTTTTGACAGTGCGATGTGCATATTTTCTTATATCCGCCATTATAGGTGGTTGTCATGACAACATAACCACCTGTTATTTTATAAATCAATTTCGTTTAATAAGATCTTTCATAGGCTTAATTTTTATTTTGACTATAATATTTCAATTCCAAGATAATTTTGAAGGGGGTATACCACCTTAAACAAAAGTAAAACCAATATCATAATAAAAAAAAAAACACATAATTTTCATCAGGTTACTTCTGTACTCTTGTGAATAATAATTAAAAAAAAAAATACAAGATTGGAAAAAGTGATCGTAATTACCTCTGTGATTAAGGTATTTTAACTACTAAATAAAAGTAAAAACACTATCATAATTTTCATCAGGTTACTTCTGTACTCTTAACACATAAGTCTAATGCTAAAATATAGTTTATAGAAATTTTTATGGTATATTTTAAACACCTTAAAGTATACATGAAATACAAAATAATACCTTAAGATATTACGATGTTCAGTAAAAATAATTTAAGGCAAAACATTATATTAAATATGTGGTAGTGGGGTAGTGGTAAGAGCTCTCGCTTTGTAAGCGAGAGGTTTGGAGATTGACTCGAACAATGTCCCTGGAAGTACCGCGCTCAACTTAAGTTATCCGCGCAGCGGCCTTGCTTGTCAAGGTTCCTGTTTCGGAGTTAAAAAGTTGAGAGAGGGTTGTACAACAATTTACAACAAAAAATAAAAAAAAAAAAACAAAAAAAAACAAAGAAAATGAGTAGCCTCCTCGACTGTAGTGGCCCCCTCGGGCCTTGGGAAGGTGAATAATTAAAAAAAAAAAAAAAGTAATCATAATTACCTCTGTGATTAAGGTATTTTGACTACTAATTTGTAGCCTATAGCAAAACATTTTATGAATTATAACTAATGTTAATAAAAAAAAAAATGAACCAAATTGTTTTACTAGTAGTAACAATTTTTTTTAAGGTGAAGGGAGTAGCAGCAAAAAGGGAAGTAGCAAAAAAATTGAATTGGACAGGGCAAGGGATCTTCAAAAAAAGTCTTTCCGAATTCTTAAATTTTGTTAAGTTATTGAAAGTAAGTTAATAAATATAATAATAAATAAATGTAAATATTTAAAATTGTCTTCCATTATTTTCTTTACTTTATTGTCATTAAATTTATATATGAGTGTTTCTATTTGTGCGTGTGTTAAAAATTGTTAGCAATTGTTAAAAATTGTTACCAATTGTTAAAAATTGTTACCAATTGTTAAAAATTCTTACCAATTGTTAAAAATTGTTACCAATTGTTAAAAATTCTTACCAATTGTTAAAAATTGTTACCAATTGTTAAAAATTGTTACCAATTGTTAAAAATTGTTACCAATTGTTAAAAATTCTTACCAATTGTTAAAAATTGTTACCAATTGTTAAAAATTGTTACCAATTGTTTAAAACTACATAAAGCACCAAAAAAGAGTTTTTAATATTATTTTATTTCTTTTGAAATATATAGTATAAAGAAATATTTTAACTCATATTATGATTTAAACTTGATTCGATTTTTGAATCAAAACCTGCTCGATTTGAGATTTTTTTTTCGCTCGATTTGAATTCGTGTTTTTTCTAAAAGAATTGTTTTTATAAAATAAATTAAAAATTTAAAAAAAATTAAAAAGGTTTAGAAGGGGGTAAAAATACCTAACAAACTAACTATAAATATCTATTTAATATTAAGAAAAGGCATTGTTTGTAGAGTTCTAAGTTTTTAGTTATAGGCATTAAAAACTTGTGTCAGGGAAGAAACGATAGGTTCCTTCCGTGACACAAGTTTTGATGGCTATAAAAAAAAAAGTTATTATTCCACATGCAATATCTTTACCTGAAATGAAATAAGTTTTTAGAGGTAGCATGTTAGGTATTATTGCCCCCTTCTAAAAGTTTTTTTTTTTTTTTTTGAATTTCCAATTTAGTTTATAAAGGTCATTCCTTTTAAAAAGAAAAAACTTTTTAATCCTGCCCATATCTTTATGTATATATATATATATATGAATATATATATATATATATATATTCATATATATATATATATATACATTATTCATATATATATATATATATATATATATATATATATATATATATATATATATATATATATATATATATATATATATATATATATGTATATGTATATATATATATATATGTATATGTATATATATATATATATATATATATATATATATATATATATATATATATATATATATATATATGTATATGTATATATATATATATATACATATATATATATATATATATATATATATATATATATATATATATATATATATATATATATATATATATATATATATATATATATATTTGTAATTTTATATATATATATATATACAAAGAGAGAGAAATACATATATAGACATATACAGATATATACAACAGCTATATTTAGCTATACTCTTATAATTTTGTTTATAAAAAAACTTGATATATGACTGCGTTTAAGCAATACGAAGAAATTTGCTGACAAAAGATACCACATACAGCGAAATTAAAAAGGGAGTTGTGGCTTTTTTTTCTGGAGCTCTAGACAGAAATAGAGGCAGAAAAGAAAAAGCAGAAAAGAAGTCCATCCAAAAAACTTGTTCAACAAAAAATCGTGGCTATACTGCCCAATCATTGCCATTGAAACCTTTATCTGGATTATCATTACCATGATTTGAACGCTTTATTTTTGATGAATCTGACAAAGTATAATGTTCTCAAAGTCTTGCATGATCTGTTTTATATGTTATGTTTTATATTAATTGTATATTTTACATAATTATAAGCTTTACAAGTATTTATATTATTAATGATAAATTTAATGCATTTATTTTTTAAATATTTTTAATGCAAATTTATTAACTAGTAAATTATTAACAAAAAGTATATTTTTTGAATTTAACCACTGCGCTGGTGTGCCAGGCCTGGTACAGCTCGGCAGCCGAGCCTGGTTCGCTATTGGGCCAAGTAGTGTCTACTTACTGGGTAATTGTATTTTCGCAGAAATTTTGGATCCAGCCCAACTATTTTTCAAAATATTTCAATTTTCGCTTTCGCGCTTATAATACCGTAATTTACCTTATAAACAGATGTAACGAAAACAGTTTAACAAAATGTTAACAACATCAAACTATCAATTAATCTTAGATTTTGCAAAAAATCATTTAATAACAAAATTACGACAAAAGGTCTTTACCTATTATAAAAAAATCTTATTATTTTCTGAAGTTTTAATACTTGTAACCCACCCTTAAATATTTATTAACCCAAACCTTAAATATTTTTTCCAAATAAAAAAAATATAGATCTTTTCATATTTTTAAATATTTTCATATTTGCCGACTATACTAAAAGTCGAAGCTTGCTTACTTTTATTTAAGAATTTCTAAATTTTCCTTCAAGTAGTTCTTTAGCAAAGTTTCCTAACACAACAAATTTGTTACAAAAGTGTTTCTTATAAAAGCGTTTTAATCAGCTAGACTATTTCTTTATGTGTATAATTTGTGACTTGCGTTGATATTTTATGGCTTTTTTCAGATTTTTTGAATTATTTAGATTTGTATCACATTTTCAAAAGAAATTTAAGACCACAAAACATACAACTTGTGTTACAAGTTATCATAACATCTAAAATATTTTTTGAAACAGAATTCATATCATTAGTTTTTCAAAACAGCAACTCCCTGATAGAATAACAAATTTTGTAACATACACCTTGTTACAGAGAATAATAGTTCCTTGTAGAAATTTTCAAAGTAGAAAAAAAAATTAGTAGAAAGTTTCATGCAATTTTTGAATAAACTATAATCCCATCTAAAAAAATTTGAGGAAAATCAATTATCTAAGAAAATTTGTATTTTAGTTTATTTTTGTTTAATTTTGGATGCCAACCATCATATACTAAAGTGTAGCTAGACTTTTTAAAACTTGCGCGAGATAGGGGAGAACGGGGTGAGATGGGACAAAAAAATTTGTTTGTTTGCCGCGCTTTATATTTTTGCCAAACACCATACAATTTGGGTTAAAACTATAGTCTAATGAGTTGTCATGGGAAATTATTTAAAAACCCATTACTTAACCATCAAATTAAGTTCACGGCCTCGCTTTTTTAATGTGACACTGTTTGTCCCATGTCACCCCATGTTGGGGTGAAATGGGACAACGTTTGGGGTGAAATTGGACAAGTTAGAAACAAATAATTTTGAGCAATATTTTATTCTGTCTAATCTACTCCTTATTTAACATAACAAAGTTATAAATGCATTCTAAATGCATTTATAACTTTGTTCAACAAGGTCGCTTGATGTTTAAATAGATTCAATATTGTGTTGATGTCTCAAGGGGTAACTTTTTGCTTTTTTATATTTTTATCTTCCTTTTTTATTTTACATTCTAATAAACTTGCAACTAGTTCATTTCTTGTTGGTGTGTCAGTCAATACCAGAGACCTAGAACATTTTATTTTTGCACTTTTCTCTTTGAACATTTTCTCTTTGTCACCCTCTCACCCGCCTTTGGAAACGGCCTTATATCTTCTGCTGTCCAATGGTTGACAGAAGCGCTTATTTGCTATTTCTTGTCATTAATAACTTCTGATACAATTGATAGTGGTGTATGGATTGTTTGTATTTGCGAATCAGCTGATTTACTTAAATTGTAAGCCATATTTGCAGGGTCTGTCTTATCGTATACATTAGCTATACTGAAAGAAATTGTTTTTTGGACCGGAGAAATACTGCTGGACAAACGGGCTGATATGGTAGAGATATTTGCTGGAATTGGCTGATCAGATACATAAGAAGATAAAAAGTCCACATCACTAAAAACATATAGATCGTAAGGGAAAATGCCAGCTGCCTTAAAACCGTTTTAAATATTTTGGGAAGTAAAGGCTCTCGCCTAAGCTGTTCCTAAATTTTCAGAAATGTCATATATCGTCATAGGAGTATTTGGATGTGCCTTTAACCATGAATCACATGCTGAACTGTAAAACTTCTTTAATGGCTCAAATACTGATCTGTCAAGTGGTTGGAGTTTGTGGCTGCAATGGGGTAGCAATGTCAAGAGCACAACATTACTTTCCTTAGCTTTATCCATCAATTCAATCGGTATATGACTTTTGTGGTTGTCCATTATTAAAAGTATTGGATGATGCTGGCTACGATGTCCTTCCTGCACAAAATGATCAAACCATTTCAAAAATATTTCTGTATTTATCCATCCACTAGGATTAGCATCACCTTTGGTACCTGTTGGTGCACCTTTAAGCATGTGGCTACGAAAGTGGGTACGGGGAAATATCAAAAACGGTGGAATAGTATTTCCAAGAGCAATTATACAATTAACCATTGTAACTAGGATTCCCTTTTCAGCAGAAGTTACCTGTCCTACTTGCTTTACTTCTTTACCCGCAACCACTGGCTTATGACCAGTTATAAGAGCTGTTCCATCAATACTGTAATTGTAATCAGCAGAAAATTTATAGCGCTTCTGTACCCTGTCAAGGTTTTTGAAGAAGGTATCTACATTGGTGCGATTGAAACTAGTTGTTCTACTAATGCTGGTAGCCTCTTGCATACAAATTGATAATTTTGTATGATTTAAGAATAAATAAAACCATTTAGTTCCAGCAGTATCACTCTTTTTCCAGTTTTCTGGTATTTTAATTCCGTTATTAATTGCATATTGATATGGAAGTTGCTTTGTTTCTCTAACATTAAGTCCAAAATGCATATCAGATGCTTGACGAAGATAAGTTGAAAGTTCATCTTCTTCCGCCTTATTAAAAATATATTTATGTTGTTCATCAAAGTATAAGTCATTGTAAGAAGTTTCTTAATTAATCTTTATTTTCCGCTGTAAACTTGATTTCGAAATTTTATATTCCAGTGCAGCTGCTCGTAGTGATAAACTGCCAGATTCAACAGCAATAAACACAAAAATATCAAAAAGTATCGGCGTACTCTACAAGGCCAAACCTTTGCTTTCCAAGACAACTTAAAAATTCTCTTCTTTTCTTATATTCAAAGTTACCTAACATACGCTAATATTGCATCGGAAAGTACCCATAAAACTAAATTAAATTCACTCTACATACATCAGAAACATGCATCAAGATTAATTTATAATAAAGATAAATTCACTCATGCCGACCCTTTACTTAAAAATTTGAATGCTTTAAATATCTATCAAATAAATATTTACCAAAATATCTTATTCATGCTAAAATACAAACTCGGACTTGTTCCGAAATACTTTACTGATAGCTTTTTTCATATCAACGCAAACAAATATATCACACGAGGAACAAGCAACTTCACCTTGCCTTTAAAAAAAACAAAATTTTCGCGATTTTCTTTAATATACCGTGACCCATACTTATATAACAAAATAATACTTCAAAATATGGAACTTAATAAAATGGATAACCTTAATGCTCTGGAAAAAAAACTAAAACATATCATAATTAACTTAACCAACTTCATCAAACTGTGTTAAACAGTTTAGGAAAAATAGTAATAATAAAAAGCCTTACTACTTCTACTATATAGTAGATACCAAAATTCATATGTGTATTTATTGAACTAGTTCATTAAAGTTTATTTTATGTTTTAAAGGTTCTCGATGAAAAAACTATTTTAATCTTCTGCGAGTTTCCTTACAACAAAGAATAATATTTTTAAAGAATAATTTTATATATATATTTAACAACATCCACAAGCAAGTCCCTAGTAGCCCTGTGGTACGACGGACTTGCATATATTTTTTTAAGTACATGGGTTAATAGCCAGCACCTTATATTATAAACAACGAATAGTTACCTTATTTTGTACACTGTACAACGCGCATGCGCTAAACAGAATTTTGAATTTCTTTTGTCTAGTAATAATTTTAATGGCACAAAAATTGTTTAATTATACGTTTTGTACTTATATGTAAAAATATGTAATTTTGTTTTATTGAAATATAGGGGAGATGGGGGCGCATTGATCGCCGGGGCAGTATGATCTTTTAGCTTTTACTCGTTTACTTTTGTCTTAATTTAACAGAGGTTGCAATTTAATTAACCATTATACTATTCTTCATTACTTAATCGTAATAATTTTTGATAAGATCAACTTCAGCGTTAAGAAAATTGAAAAGACTGTTTTACATCATGAAAAGTGATTTTTGAAAGTTGTAAACAAATTCAAATAAGTTTTTAATTAGATTTCCGTATGACTTTATAACCAATTTATTGTAAACTAATATGTGTTAAGTTAATAATAAATTTGTTTTTTTGAGTTGGTTACTGTATTTATAGAAGTTATTGGCATCAATATATCAACTGTACCTAATGGGGCACAGTGATCGTTGACTATGCGGGGCTCATTGATCGGAGGATCAAAGTGCCCCATATAACTTATATTATAAGACTTAAATTTTTTGTTTAAATTTTATACATTTAAACTTAATAAAAAATATTTAAAATTTCATTTTTAAAATGTAATAGTGTTAAAAGCTAATATTAATAACATTATTTTTTAGTTTTACATAAGTTTTACAATTAGTTTACATAATATTATTATATAAAAGTTTTTTTTTAAACTATGGACTTTCAACTAAGTCAACACGATTATTGGCATACGAATTTGCTGTAAAAAATAATAAGATTTGTCTTTCATCATGGATCAAGAATAAAATTGCAGGGATTGATTGGTTGCAAGGTTTTATGAAAAGACAACCAGAGTTGTCTTTACGAACACTTGAAGCAACTAGCTTTGCTCAATCAACTGCCTTTAACCGACACACTGTTGGAGAATTTTTCCAAAATCTAAAAACAGTTAGAAATCGATATAAGTTTGATCCTTATTGCACATATGATGTTGATGAAACTGGTTTAACAACAGTACAAAAGCCAGTAAAAGTGTTAGCAGGTAAAGGAAGTAAACAAGTAGGAAGAATCACATCTGCAGAACGAGGAACATTAGTAACTGTATGTTGTGCTTCAAATGCAATTGGAAACTCTATTCCAATCGCGGATTTAGTAGAGGGCGCGGGGGGGGGGGCAAGCTGCCCCCCTACGCCCCCCTAGAACGGTCTAACACCGCCCCCTAAATTAATCAATATATGTATATATATATATATATATATATATATATATATATATATATATATATATATATATATATATATATATATAAGATCAAATTACTGAAGGCAACCCCGGTCACCCCTATTTATTGACTTAGCCCCCCCGCGACACTAAACCTCAATCCGCCACTGCTCTATTCCTCCACTATTTGTTTTTCCAAGGGTCAAATTTCATGATTACATAATAAAGGAAGGTCCTCCTGGATGCGTGGGATTTGCAAATCCTTCTGGTTGGATGAATTCAGACATCTTTATAGAATGGATAAAACATTTTGTGAGGTATTCAAACTGGTCTCGTGAATCTCTAGCTTTGTTACTTCTGGACAGCCGTAAAAGTCATATTTCTGTTAGAGCTTTGGATCTTGCAATTTAACATGGAATTACAATGCTAAGTTTTCCTCCCCATTGTACCCATAAATTGCAACCATTTGATAGAACTGTTTTGGAGCATTTAAAAGGTTTTACAATGCTGCCTGTAATAATTGGATGGTCACAAATCCAAGACTTATGACCATTTATGATATTGTTTCAATAGTTCGCGAACCATATACCAAAGCTTTCTCACCATCTAATATACAGAGAGGATTTCAAGTAGCTGGCATTGGGCCATTTAATCCAGAAATTTTTAAAGATGAAGAATATTTACCATTATCAGTTACAGATCGTGCTGCTCCAGATGTAGTAAACACAAATCTTGTTGAACCTGAAATGACTGTAGCACATGTTGATGGCATGGAGCCTGAAATGCCTGTAGTACATCATGAAACAAATTTTTTGAACAAAGTGTCACCAAGCATTGCTTCATTACTCTCACCTGAAGTTTTGAAACCTTACCCGAAAGCATATGCTATAAAAAGAAGTGTTAAAACTAGGCAATTAAAAACAAGGATTTTGACAGATACTCCAATCAGAAATGAAATTCGTTTGTCAGAAGAAAAGAAAATCCTAAAACAAATCAACCAACAAAAGAAACTCATCGCAAAAGATAAACAAAAAGGGAAAAGTTAAAAACTACTTGCTTAGGAACAAAAAGCAATGAAATGTAAAAGCTGCATCACGATTTGACTTTGACAAATTTTTTTTTTTTTTTTTTTTTTTTTTAACATCTTCACTTCCAACAAGGCTGCAAGCAACCACTATAAGAGTTGGAAGTTACTGGAAGAGAAAAGACTAAATCTGTAGAGCAAGATAACGATTGACTGATGACTTAAAAGATTGCAAATTATATGACTCAGGAAAGCAAGATGAAGGAAGCGAATTCCAAAGAACTGATGTTCGAGGAAAAAAACTAGAAGAATAAGAGTTTTTGAAGCACTTAGGAACAGTCACAGAAAAAGGATGAGACTTAATTGAATGGCGAGTAACACGAGAATGAATTTTAGTAGATGGCACAAGGGACGCTAGCTCTTTAGAGCAGTGCCCATTATAGTATTTGTAGAAAAGAGAAAGAGAAGCAACATTACGACGATGTGACAAAGGTTGGAGATTGGCTGCCAGAGCAGGTCCAACTATGTTTACAATTCGTTTTTGCACCTTGTCTAAAAGAGAAAGAGCATCATTAGAAGATCCGCCCCAGATGTGGCAACAGTATTCCATACAGGGACGGATTTGAGATTTATAGAGATAGAGAATAGAATCTGGAGTAAGAAAGTGTCGAGCTCGATAAAGAGATGCAACCTTAGCAGATGCTAATTTTGCAATGGATTTGATATACGGTTTAAAAGAAAGATCAGAAGTAAGAGTTAATCCTAGAAGATGAATGGTAGATGACTCATCTAGTACATTACCATTCATAAATATAGGAAGATCTAAATTATTACGATAACGATTGGCCGAATAAAATTGAGTTTTATCTGAATTAAAGTTCACCAGCCACTGTGAGCCCCATGCTGTAGCAGAAGTGAGATCCTTTTCAAGCTCAGATACCCCCTCCAAGCAATCAGAGAGTGTAGGCTTCTTATCATGACAAGAGTAAATGGTAGTGTCGTCAGCGAATAATGCCACCTTAGATGTGAGAATATCTGGAAGATCGTTAATGTAAATTAAAAAGAGTATAGGGCCAAGGATTGAACCTTGAGGAACCCCTGAAGTTACAGGATGTGAAGAAGAGTGTTGTCCATCGAGGACAACTTTTATACTACGATTGGAAAGAAAGGACTCAATAATCTTAAAGACGTTACCAGCTACACCATAAGAAGAAAGCTTATGGAGAAGACCAGCATGCCAAACTTTATCAAAAGCTTTAGAAATGTCAAGTGCGATAGCCTTAACCTCTCCACCTCTATCTAATGCACGGTAAAACCTATCGGTTATACTGTTAGCACATCAGCTGTAGAACGAGAAGACCGAAATCCATATTGATGATCAGAAAGTAAGTTATTTGATTCAAGATGAGAGATTAAGTGTTTGTTGATTAAAGATTCAAAAACCTTGCTTATGACAGGAAGAAGACTAATCGGACGGTAGTTAGATGAATCAGATCGCTCTCCGGAATTTTTGAAAATAGGGATAACAGATGCTGCTTTCCAGCATGATGGAAAACGAGACTCTGATAAGCACTTGTTAAATAGTTTAGAAAGTATGGATGAAAGCTCCGGAGAACACCTCTGCAAGACTACAACAGGAATGTTGTCAGGACCACAAGCTGTTGAAGAGTCTAAGCAGGAAATTACTTTAGATACAGAAGCTGAAGTGATGCGAATGTCAAGCAAGGAATCAACCTGTTTGACGGCTATGTCAGGTAAAATGCAACTAGTGGAATCAAGAAATGATATTGATGAAAAGTTCTTAGCAAACAATTCAGCTTTGTCTTTAGGTGAGGTGACAAAGTCTGAACCATACAAGAGAGAAGGAATAACAGATTTGCCCTTATTATTGATACTGTTAAAGATTCTCCAGAAGTCTCGAGAGCCTACTTTTTGTGATGAGATACGAGATTTAATGACCTGGGAATAGCGAGCTTTGGCGTCAGACAAAACCTTTTTACAATGGTTTCTGGCGATAGTGAACAGATGTCTGTTTTCTGGAGAATTGTTTTGTTGATAGATATGGAAGTAACGGTTTCGATTAGAAATTGCTGCAGCGCAATGTGAGGAAAACCAAGGAGAAGAGTGAGGTTTGACCTGGAATCGTCGAGAGGGAATAAAAAATTCCATGCCAGCCTGAATCCACGAAGTTATGTAAGAAGCACATTTGTCAGCAGGAAGACGAAAGATTTCTACCCAAGGGCCATCACGAAGAAAATCACGGAAAGAGTCCCAGTCAGCTTTAAGGTAGTTGTATGTGGTACGATGATAGGGGGATTCTGATGAAGTAGAAGAATTTGATAATAGTTTTAGAGAGATCAAACCGTGATCAGAAGTACCTAAGGGTGAATGTGGAGAAATTGAGCACTGACTAGGATCCAAAACAAGACATAAGTCGAGTAGAGAAGGTAAATGATTAGGGTTGTCTGGAAAACGAGTTGGAAAGTTGACTATTTGAGTTAGAGATTGAGAAAGGCAAAAGTTGAGGGCCTTAACGCCAGCAGAGTCACTGACACTAGAGCCAAGCCAATCGGTGTGATGGGCATTAAAGTCACCAACAACGACGATATTGGCCAATGGATAAAGAGAGAGGGCTTGGTCAATTTGATCAGAAATAACATCAAGAATAATGCAATCTTGGGATGAAGGAGAGCGATATAGAACAAAGAGAAAGGCGATAGAGTGAAGTTGTGCTAAACGAAAGCACATAAATGAATAGTCTGTAGATTCAAACCTAGTTTCACGACAAATGGGTGAGTTCTTACGAATGTAGATGCCCAGACCAAGCATGTGGTTATTGAAGTCTTTACGAATTCAAGGAAGATAACCATCAACACTAAGATCACAAGATGGGACAGCCGAACTCAAATTAGTCTCACAAAGAGCAAGTAGGTCTGGTGAACTTTGCAAGAGATAAGACTCAACAGAAGAAAAGTTACTTCAAAGACCACGAATATTAGTAAATGATAGGTTTAGAGAACTTGGTGATGACGATGGTTTTTTGTGTTTTTTAGTTTTAGGTACTTTAGTCATTTTAAATTTATAAAGAACTTGACTCAAGTATAGGTAGTACTCAGTACACTATTTAACAACTAAGCAATAGCCTCATTACTATTAATAAACCCTAAGCCGTAACAAAGGGCTCCAAATGTGGCCTCTGCAATGCACACCAAAAGTACAAACAGGGACACCATCCATGCGCAACATGGCACTGTTAGTACTCTGATATTTTTCGGCTGTTGATGGAATCAGCCTCTCTGAGAGCTACCACAGAGTTCGGGAAACCTGACTACCAGCCGGCCTCAGAACCATAAAACTGAGTTTTAGAGCTGTACCCTCATTAGGAGATAATAGAATGAGTTGCCCAGTCATAAAAATAGAGACACAAGCAATACCCACGCATTGAGTCAAGAAGATCCAGCGTTCAACATCCTAAACTGGAAACAATGTATTAAAAATACATCTGCGCCAGCCTAATAGATGAGGAAGGGGTGCGAGGCTGGTCAACAGATAGAATCTGTTTACCCCTTAAGTCTTTGCCTAGGAGGCCTTCTACAAGACAGCAGCTGGATGCATGTAACATCTGCCCAAGATGAGTATTTTTATCGAGACACCATCTCTAGCCTTTACTCAACGAAGAGCCTCAAGGCAGGGGGTGTTTTAATTCGGAGTTAACTTCTCCTAGCCTTTGCCTAAAAAAGCGTATCCTACAAGGCAGCAGGACATGAAATGGTGATATTTTAAAAAAATAATCTTGTAAACTTTAGTTCTAATAAAAGTCTTGTATAAATCTTGTAATTTTTTTGTAAACTTAAAGTACTGTATTCTTATAGACTTTATAAGCTTCAAGTTTTGTAAAACTTAACACATATATATATTAGTAGTATATAACAGGCTTATTTTCATAGATAGAATTGTGGTCATTCTTCTAATGAAAACTTTATATACTGGTGTGTATTAGGTTGCAAAGATATTACATATACAATGATAAGGGCTAGAAAACGGTTTCCTATTTATATATATATATATATATATATATATATATATATATATATATATATATATATATATATATATATATATATATACATATATATATATATATATATATATATATATATATATATATATATATATATATATATATATATATATATATATATATATATATATATATATATATATATATATATATATATATATATATATATATTGATCTTTTGCAAGGGTTGTTGTAATGTTGAAATATACAACGTTCATTAATATTTTTTATTAAAAAATTTATTTTTACTTAAAGACAGATTGTTCTAGTTTCGTTTAGTAATTAATAAGTTTTTATATCTAAATCGGGTTGTTTGCAGTTTTCAAAATACTGCAACGGCGATCAATGTTAACCCATCTTCCCTATACGAATACTTGTGTTGTAAATTTAAAAAAAAACAGCTATCACAGCTTTTATTGTATGAGCTTCAGGCTTTAACTGATTCGTCAAATTTTTCATCAAAGTATAAGTCATTGTAAGAAGTTTCTTTATTACCCTTTATTTTCCGCTGTAAACTTGATTTCGAAATTTCATATTCCAGTGCAGCTGCTCGTAGTGATAAACTGACAGATCCAACAGCCATCACAGCGGCTTTTATTGTATGAGCATCAGGCTTTAACCAATTTGTCACTCGTTTGTACTTTCTTGGCATCTGAAAAATATTACACACATTTCTCACTCTATTATTCAAAAACTATACTTTTTTAAAATTGCATGAACCAAAATTCATATTATTAATGAAAATAAATTAGTACCATAACCCTAAAAACTTATAGTGAGATTAAATTTAAAAAGGGTAATAATAAAGTCGTTTATTTAAACTGAATTATAAATACAGTGCTAAAAAATATTCTTTATAAAACAATACTTACTGTGAAAAATGTCTTTAACAACCAGGATAAAATTTCAAAGAAATTCTATAGAACTATTTTTTTTCTAAGATAAAAAACATATTAACATAAAGTAAACATGGAAATCTTGCCATAACTTGGCAAGTTATGGCAAGATTTCCATAATTTCTAATTATTTATTTGGAGTTTGCACAATGTGTGGAAGTGGTTTATCTGGAACATCAAAAAATCCTGCATAATTTTCTGCTAACTTAATTTTTTACAAAAAGAATTTATTGAAAAAAGTAAGATATAACAAATTAAACAACTGATAAAATTGAACAGTGTCCCATTTCACCCCAAGTCTCCTGCCCCAAGTCACCCCATTGCTAGTAGGTGTGAGAAAACTTTTATTTTATATTATTTCTCTTAACCATTTGCTAATTATATTTTTTCAGTAATTAAATAAGACAATAATAATTAATTAAAGACCATAAACATAAAATTATATGGAAACATAACATAAATATTTATTGTTAATTACGTCTTCAAAATCCAAGAAACTTGTTAGATTTTAACATATTCAAAAATAATTTGAATTTTAAAATACTTTCGAAACTCAAAAAACACAATAATATGAAGTACTTTTTGTAATCTTATCACATATATAAAAAAAACTGCTTTAACAATTTTTTTGCTGAGAAATCGCCATGCCCCATCTCACCCCATGTCCTATTTCACCCAGTTCTCCCCTAAACATTCTATCCAACGTGTTCTATTCTTTTTTATCTCTTGGAATAAATAATGATAAATAAGAGGTCGTCCATAAAGTACGTACGGGGGGGGGGGGGGAGAAAGGTCTTCAAAAAGCGTAAGATAGCGTATGGGGGGAGGGGGGAGGAGAAGGGTTCAATTTAAAAGTACGTACTTCGATTTTCTAATTTTACACAACTAACCAGCTAGTCAATAGATAAGTTAAAATTCTGACTAAAGATCCTAGTTTGCCAGCATAAAAAGATGTATTTTATAGGGAGTAGAAGGTATAGTTTCTCTCTATGCCTACACATGCATGGGCGCCCGCAGGATTTTTTGATGTTCCAGATAAACCACTTCCACACATTGTGCAAACTTCAAACTTAAGTATGTTTAAACCTATGCCATTTGAAGAGGTCTTGCAAAAAGTTGTTATGGTGATAGCCTGGGAACAAAAAAGCCCTCAAATGCTTGCATCCCCTTCCCTTCCCAAAGGTGATGGCACTAATATAGTAAAAATTTCCGATCCCCTTCCCCAACAAAAATAAATAAATGAGGGGTTGTACGTTTTGCATCGACATAACTTTTGTAATTAGCAATATTTTTCAACGAAATTTAAATTCTGTCGATAAATTTGAATTTAGTTTTAGATCGTTAAGTTAAATATTTTACTACATAAGTGCCCTAACGTTTCAACCGTTCCAATTTTTTATAAGGTCTCCTCATTTGACATAGGTATAAACAAACTTAAATTTGGAGTTTGCACAATGTGTAAAATTGCCCTATCTTTAATATCCTCCCCCCTCCCCCCTCAAAAAAAATGTGTCAAAATCTTCCAAATTTTATTGCTAAGTTTTGCTAAAATAAAAAGCTCTTTAAAGTAGCAAAAGGGTACAAAATTTGCTGCTACCCCACAACCCCCCATCCTCTCTAATTACGCGGTATGGGTAACCTACACTCGGCAGTGGGTTTTAAACTTTGTTTTTAATATTACTCTTCTCGCGTAAGACTCGCTTTTTAAGGATTTACTAAAGAGGTGTGCCTAAAAAAAACGTCTGCTATAAGTATAGTTTATTTTTATTTGATGCGTTTCATTAAACAAAAAAATAAAAAAAACCTTAACGAGAATCAAAATCGGATCTCCGCCGTCACTGCCTACTGTACTAGGTAAAATGCTAACTGCAAACCGCGAACTGCGAAAATTTATTGAAATAAAAAAGGTGGAGGATTACCCTAGATACTTCTAAAGTATCTTATTATTACTTTTAAAGTATCTAGGGTACCTTCTCCACCTTTTTTCTTTCAATAAATTTTTTAACTTAAAAAAAAAAATTGAGGGGGGGGGGGGTATATGAACAGGGGGGAGGGGGTGTCAAATTTCAGAATTTTTGACGTACGTACTTTATGGACGACCCCTAACTTATAGAACAACAATAAACACATTTCTATATTTTTCATAAACATAAACAAATATCGCCATTTTCATTGTAGACTAAATAAAGAGAAAATATATGCAAACCAACAAACGGTGTTATTTAATTTAGAATTTAAAGTTAAAAAATTATCGTTTTTATTTAATGATTGCTATTCACTTTATTGAAAAAAGTTTCATATACGGAGAGTATATATTTAACAGAATTTTTATCTTTGCTACACAAATTTTGTTTTCGCTACAGGTTCTCGTTTTTTACTTTTTTTTTTTTTACTTTTTTTTACGTTTTTACTTTTAGTCATAACTTAAGACCTCGTTGTTAATAAAAATATTGCTGTTAAATAGCTTAAATACATAATAAATTATAGGTGGTATTTATTTAGTTGCACAATAAAGCGATAAGCTGAAAAAGTGGGTATAAGTGGATTTTTTTGAATACACAATTCGCATCAATTTCGTTGTACAACTTATTAGAAAAAATATCAAATGATAAGAAAAAAATATTTTTTTTATTTATTTATTCTTTTTAACACCCAAATTACAGGTAAAAAATTTTTTGCGGTAAAGATTAAACTTTTTATTTAGGCATTCTTTTTTTCTGTTTCAAAAGTAAAAAGCTTAAAATATTAAGTTAAGGGTTAAATCAAGCCCAGAAAAAGCATACTTTTCAAAAGTTATTAAACATTCTGTCAAAAATGCAGCTTTAGCCAGGAAAATTATTGAAAATAAAAATAGGAATTCAATAATGATAAAAGCAGAAATGGCCCTTGCATTAAAAATTAATTGTGAACTCAGTGATTCACAATAACCAATTCTTAGAAACTCTTCACTAAAACAGAATGCAGAGATATACCCTTCAGTCAAAGTAATATTTGATGCAAAATCTAAATGATATCCAGAAATCTTGGAAATTTTAAAAACATCTGCCAAGTATTATGCGGTTAAGTTTTTTTTTTTGGAAAAATTTTGTAATAATATGACGGTTAACTATCTATTAATTTATATTTTTTGACCTTCTTATTTTTAATTTAAGCTTATAGCTTTGATTCTAACGTAGTCATTAACAATGGCCATTTTATTATAGCCCAATGTCATCATCCTAAGTTGATCATAACCCTCGATCTTAATTAAGTTTTTTGAAAATATAATAACTAAAGACAAAAAAAAATGTATAGAATGAGTTATTGGTCTGTTGTAAAATGAATTTAAAAATTCGTATCTAACCATGCAGAGTGAACAGCCCTAAAGCTATAGCTTGCTGATTGCAAACTTTTTCTTTAGTTTAGTTAAGTTAGTTTATTAAATTTATTTAAATTTAATTATTTTTAATTAAATCTAAATAAATTAAACTTTTACTTCGAAACAAAATTCGAAGAAAAATTCTACAAAACTTTCGAATTTTTTTATTTTGACAACAAAAATCGTGTGAAGAAACCAATGGCGGAAACTTTAAAATTTAAAAATAATTGTCATGAGGATAATATATATTTAGTAAATCAAAAATTAAAATAACTTTTACAATATTATAAAATATATTTAATATTTTGTTTAAAAAATATATATTAAACATATGCAACAAAAATTTTAAATATATAAAATATTAAACAAAAGATTTCCACATAACATTACTATTAACTCAATTTCTATTTTTTATTCATTTTTTCTATTCATCAATTCTAGTTTTTATTTATTTATAACTATATATTTTATACTTTAATAAAAATTATTATTAAAGTTAATTAAATAAGAAACTTTAACTTAAATTTTAAACATTCGTTTTAGAAGTTGTTGAAAAATTAAAAAAAATATTTTTAGAATAATTTTTTAAATAATTATGTAGCAAAAATAATACATATAATAAAAAAATATATATTTAATAATAATAATAGTATATAAAATATAAAATAATTAATAATTTATATTATTATTACTAATATTTTAAAACAAATATATTAAATTGTTTTAAACAAAAATTATTATTAAATAATATTAAACAAATTAAAAAAATATCAAAAATATAAAACTAAAAGTTAAATTAACTAAAAGTTATAAAGTTTTTTAATTATTGTTTATATTTTATTTAAGATATTAAACATACTGTGTTATAAAGTTTTTTAATTCATCGAGGTTTTCAAAATATATTTCAAAATGTTTTCCACGGTACTCGATCCACAACCACTTGACATTCGAACAACGAATCCATTCACAAATCTCTTCAATGAAATCGTTGTCGTCGTGAAGTAAAAGATGTAATCTTTCACAAAGAATAATCCACGGAAGAAAATTTTCTTCAAAATCTTTTTTCGTTATTAAATAACGTGATGTGAGATGTATCTCCAACAATTCAATCTTATCTTTCGGTTTCCATCCTTCTAATTTAATTGGACAAGAAAAGACGACATCGCGAACATTTGTTGAACATTTAATTATAAGATTTTTTTCTTCATCACTTAAAATATTTTTATCAACACTTTTATAAACAAATAACTTCGATAACTTTCTTCCAGATTTAATGTAATGATTTACGAAATAATTTTCACAAGAAGTTTCGTAAGAAGTTTTTCCATCGTGAATCAAAATCTTCCACTCTCGTTCATCGACGATTAATTTTATTTCATCAGTTAATGATGATTGACTTTCATAAAAACATTCAATGAATAAATTAACGTAATAAAATTGAAGTTGATTATTGTTTTCAAGTTGAAAATCGTTTTCTTCAATACTTTGATGAGATAATTTAAGTAGACGATCTAAAGAAAAAATAAATATAAAATAACAATTAAATAAAAATTAAAATAATAATCGAAATTATAATATCATATACATTATAATATTCTACATATTAATACATAAATCAATATCAATTTCTAATTATAATGATATTTTATCATTCACATATTTAAATATTAATTTTTTAAATATAATTTTTATCACATTTTTAAAATAAAATAATTTCATTTTAATATAAATATAAATGATTAAAATAATATATAACATATTAATTTAAATAAATAAAAATACATTCCAAACAAACGTAGAAATTGATTTAAATTCACAAAAACAACATCGTTCACTCACGGTCGTTCAAACTCACTAAATAAACGACAAGTTATTGTACGCAAGCGCAGTTAGATAATAAAAATTTTAAGACTTTCAAGATGGCTTCGGGCCTTAGCTACAAAGTTAATTTTTAGTTGACGACCAATTTTTTTATTACTTACTGCGTTTTTTATCATTTTATACGAAAAAACCAGTCGTTTGGCTATCAGTAGTGTTTTGGTAATTTAGTTTTTACTTTCTAGTAAGAAAAATATAAGGAGAACATTATTTTATGAATGATGCAGTTTTACTTAGAAAATTTTTTTTCTTCGATTTGTTTATAAATTTTTAAGTGTTTTTTTTTTTTTTTTTGAGCGGTGAAACTTAAAACTTTTTATAATTTTGTTTATATGAATCTTATATCTATTTATTATTAATAAATAATCTTAGCACTCAATTTTTTTTCTTGTTCAAAATTTACATCAAAGATTTGTGATAAATTGACACCATTTTAGTTAATGAAAATTGTCCTTACGTAAAAAAGTTAACAAAGTTTTTATATTTTAATTTTAAACTAAGTCTTTTATTTTGTATGCAGTTTATTATTTTTTCGTTAATTTAATTTAGTTTTTGAATATTTCCACTATTTAATAGATAAAGTTAAAGCTGTTATTCAGTACACTTGTCTAAAAACTTGTCTTTTTCTTAGATGGAGATCCATAACAAGAATTTGACTCTTCTTTGTAGGGTCTGTGGATTTTTGGTTGGTAAAAAAAGTTACCCTATTGGAACAAACCAAAAAAATAAAATTGAAAAGGTTTTCCATGTTATGCTATCAGATGAGCAAGAAAATGTTCATCCAAATAAAATTTGCCATAAATGTTATAATACCATTAACAATGTTATCAAAAGAATGACATCAACAACACTTCATTTAAGTATAAACTGGAAACCTCATTGTGATGAATGCTTTTGCTGTCAACAGGTAGAAAAACTCTGTAAAGGTCTAAATGTTGCAAAATTACTTAAACAAAATAAAAAGCTTATTGGTCGCCCTGGTATTGGTGAAAAAGTCTGGTCATTTTCGATGATTGCTAACATTAAAAAAAGCATTGTGACAACACATGACTCAGAAATAGATATTGAAGAATTAAAAAATGAATTTAATCCTCATTTACAACTTTGTCAGTGTAATTTATGTGGTAAAATACCAAAACAACCAGTAACTCTAAAAAAATGTGAACACTTATTTTGTTTTTTCTGCATAGTGGAAAATATAAAAGTAAAAAAACTCAATGAAACATCATGTTCAAAATGTAAAGAGCTCATTTTACCTGAAGATTTAGTGACAAGTGTAAAAACAAATTCTCTTTTAAATATGTTTACTGTTGAGTGTATATGTAAAAAAAAATTCAATGTAATGAAAGAATATGATTTATATACTAATCATAAGAGTGTCTGCATTGATAAATCAATAGTACAAGCAGCCCCATTGTTATCACCATCAATTTCTTCATTTGCTTCTAACTTGGCTTCATCATCATCTTTTACAGTATCAACATCATCATCAACATCTTATTTATTTAACAACAACATTTCTGAGATTTTTAATCTCACAGTGGATAATGATATTCCAAGAATAGTTGAAGATGCTGCACTCCATGTTCTTAAGCAAAAGATGGCTAAAGATGGTGGACAAGTAGTTGAGTTTAAAAGTGGAGGATCTAGAGTAATGATATTTTTTAATTTTAGCTTAATTTGTAATAACTATAAATTAAATAGGTCTTGCTTTTCAAAGATCTTTCTTTTTAGCCAGTTTTGTTTTCGCTTACTCCAAAAGCATATGTTAGCAGTAACCAAGCATCAAATACAACTATAAGAGTCAGAAATGCTTCTATCAAAAGACACATGAAAGTTATTTCTGGTACATCCAATGATGCAGTTTGTTGCCAAACATCGAAGCTGATAAATTCATTTCAAGCAGAGACAAAGGGGTTAATATTAGATAACCTAAATACTGAAAGAGTAGTAATTAGTGCAACCAACATGGTAGCAATGAAAAGCAGATCTGTGCATACCTTGGGAAAAGCTTAAAACAATATCCAAGTTTTTATTTTTTTATATGAATTTTATTATATACTAGTTTTTTGTTGCATGAAATATAACTTTTTATGTTTGTTTAAAGGTGGCTGAAGAGCTTTAATATAAATACAGCATCACATTCTTCACAAAGAATAGTTGCTGAAAAGTTATCTGGTGATGACCTAGTTGTAGAAAATGCACCATTTACCTTTGAAAAGGAAGAAAAAGGAACATTCGAAATAAAATATGTATCTTGGGGCTATATTGAAAATTTACCAATGCATATTTTAAGACATCTTGATCAATTAGAAAGGTAGTTTTAAACCATCAATTAACAATTCTTTTAAAAGCATAATTTATAAAGCAAATTGAAATCTTTTGTGCTTATTTGTTATTATTTAAAATGAGGCCATTGTCTATAAAATCAGTTTATTATTTTATAATATATTCAATTACTTAATAATGTATAGTTTTTATGTAGTTGTAAAAGACTTCATCACCATGAATTTATTCCTGAGAAAGAGATACAAATTAAAATAGGAGGTGATTATGGTGGAGGGAGTTTTAAAATGACATACCAGGTTGCAAATACCTTAAACCCAAATAGCAAAGACAACACCATAGTTTTTAGCATTTTTGAGGCAAAAGATTACAGAGTCAATGTCAAAGTAGCCATGTCAAGGTTTGAAAAGCAAATAGAAGATCTTCAAAAAATGAAGTATAAGTAAGTTAATAAAACTGTTTTTCTATTAACTGTTTTTTTTTTATTTATAGCTGAATTTTTAAATATTTTAATTAGTTTTGATAATTTATTTTGGTAAACTATACTTTAATATAAATATAATACATTACAAATGTTATCTTAATTAAATTTATGCTAAACATTTTAACACACCTCTACAGGGATAACAATATTAGAGTATTTGTTTTTGGCGATTATCAGTTTCTATGTGCCCTCTATGGAATATCAGGAGCATCAGGTGATTTTCTATTTTTATTTTTATCTCTATAAATGACAAATTATCAGCAGTTTTATAGTTTTTACTACTTAAACAGAAATATATTAATTAAAAAAAAAAAAAAAATGGTTGGCACTTTTTTGCTGAAAGAAAAACCACAATATTGTATTAATATTTACATAAAGTATTACAAATTATATATATATATACATATATATATATATATATATATATATATATATATATATATATATATATATATATATATATATATATATATATATATATATATATATATATATATATATTTATATATATATATATATATATATTATATATATATATTTATATATATATATATTTATATATATATAAATATATATATATATATATATATATATATATATATATATATATTTATATATATATATATATATATTTATATATATATATATGTTATATATATATATATATATATATATATATATATATATATATATATATATATATATATATATATATATATATATATATATATATATATATATATATATATATATATTAGGGTGGTTCAAAAAACAACATTTTTGAAAAAATTCTGCTCCTAACCCCTAAATGTGTTCTATTTAATACAAAAACACTAGGTTTAATTTTTTTTTGAATAAAAAATATTTTTAGGGGTGCCGCCAGACCCTCGAATATTTACCGGGTCCCTAATATTTTCAAAAAAAATGTTTCTCAAAAATAGGTCAACCTGGTACTCAAATGAAGTGAAATTATATAAAAATTTCAAAAATAATATTCATTTAAATAAAATATTGTTATATTAAGTTTTATTACATAAAAAATCATGATTTTTAGCAAAAAATAAAAAAAGTGAATTTTGCATGATAATTTTGATAAATAAAATTAAACATCAATTTATTTTTCAAAATGAATATTATTTTTGAAATTTTTATATAATTTCACTTCATTTGAGTACCAGGTTGACCTATTTTTGAGAAACATTTTTTTTGAAAATATTAGGGACCCGGTAAATATTCGAGGGTCTGGCGGCACCCCTAAAAATATTTTTTATTCAAAAAAAAATTAAACCTAGTGTTTTTGTATTAAATAGAACACATTTAGGGGTTAGGAGCAGAATTTTTTCAAAAATGTTGTTTTTTGAACCACCCTAATATATATATATATATATATATATATATATATATATATATATATATATATATATATATATATATATATATATATATATATATATAATTAAAAAGTTTACAATACTAATAATAACCAAAAAATTAAATAATAATTATTATTATTTATGAGAAAATTAAATTTATGACTATATTTAATTTTTTTATGATAAATAATTATTCTTCTTTAATTTGTAACTATTTTTTATTGATTTTAATTTTAGGGAGGCATTGTTGTCTTTTCTGTTATGCGACAGCAAGTGACATGAAATTTGGTGAGCATAAAAGTTCTGAAATAAAAGATCGTACCTTAGAAGATCTGTTTTTGGACCATGAAAGATTTATAGAAAACGGAGGTTTAAAGAAAAATGCAAAAAATTTCAATAATGTCATCACAGAGCCAATTTTGAAAATACCACTAGATCAAGTAATGTTTTTTTATTTGTCGTATTAATTTTGCAGTACGGCTAAATAAAAGTAGATTCATTATGCACTTTCAATATATATTTTTAGGTATCTTTACCTAGTCTCCATATGGCTCTTGGTATTTATTTGAATTTTTTTAATTTGTTTGAAGAAGAAGTCCATCAATTGGACATTTTGATTGCTGCAGAAGCAGTCAAAAGCAACATCAACTTTTCGGAAGAATATCCAGTTTTCGTATCAAAACAAAAACAACTGTTAAATCTTCAAACTGAAATTCTTAACCTCGACAATCAAATTCAATTAATCAATGATTTTATTTTGTTAGCTGCTGTTAACAATTCAGATAATTTAGAAAATATTCAATCTCTATACTTTACAGAAATTGAATTACTTAATGGTGAAAAAGCAAAAAAGGTTAAACAATTTATTAGTTTAATTAATTTGATATTATGTTTTATTGATTTCATAATTTTTGTTTCATATTATTTTTATATTATTATGTGTAGTGAAATTTATTTAAAATAGAGTTTGTGTTTGTAATTGATTTGGTATGCATTAAACAGTTTTGCAAGCATTTGGTATGGTGCAATTTAATTGTAGAAAACAGCTTAATATAAGCATTATTAATAATAGCAATTTTGTAAACTGTTTATATGTGTGCACATATAAACAGTTTGCAAACCAGGGTTTAAAAAAACCAGTGTTTTAAATGTCATCCCTGTCACACACAATTTTGCCTTTGTTGTTATGGAATGAATAATATTATAATTTTTGCTGCTATGCAAGTATTGTTGGTTTATGTTATTCTATTTGAAGTTTTTTTTAGACAAATATATATAATACTCTGTTTGGGAAACATTCCTTTGAATTGGGTCAAAGACCATGCACAAAGATGATCGAGACGGTACTGCAAAAGCTTAAAGTACAACGTCAAGCTTACCACGGAAAAAGTTTTATAGGAAACCATGTGCATAAAATGCTAAAAGTAATTTAATTAAAGATTAGTATAAATAAAAAAAAATTACTAGTAAGTAAATAACAAATTAGGTTTTTACTGGATAAATAATAATTTATTATCTATCTTTCATGAGTTATTTTCTTTACTTTTAATGCAGATGTTGTTATAAAAACAAATGAATTTAATGTAATTACAATGAATAAGACAATAAATAAATAAGTCATTTAACCTTATATAAATCTTTTAAAAGCAACAAAATCAAAATTTTTTATTAAATTAATAATTAATTTTAACAGGTTAATCCATTTTATTTTTAATTATTAAGTTAATTAAACATAAAAAACGGGCACAATAGCAAAATAGTTCATATCGCATTTTGATTATAAACTTATAATATATCTAAACTGTCTCTTAACAAGACTAGTGAAGTATATTTGTTATTTAGAAATCTTCAATACTTCAGCTATGCAACTGCATCCCAAAGCTTGTTCACGAGGAAGGATATTCAGGAACAAGCGTGCATAAGTTTGCAGTTGAAATTAGCAATAAATATAAACAACTATTTGATAAATTTGCCCAGTGCTATAAAATATTTTCTTCAAAAAATACAATTACACAAGACGATTTAATTCTTTTAAGTAAGTCGCATTATTTTATAAAATGTTTTATAAGGATATCTACTGTTTTTTTTTTTAATTGTACTTTTAATTTTTTTAGAAAAAAATATAAACAACTTGATGCAATTTTATCGTTTGAATTGGCCTGAGGCTTCAGTGACACCTAAGCTGCATATGTTAGAACATCATGCTATTCCGTTTATGGAAAAATGGGGAGCGGGATTTGGGTTTTATGGAGAGCAAGGCGGAGAATCTATCCACATGGAGTTCAACAAACTCAAAACTATTTATCAATCGATTCCTTGCCCAACTTTGCGATTAAAAAGTATTCTCAAATCCCATTACCAAAAGACAAATCCAGAAAATTTGCGTCTTAAGCCATGTTTAAAAAAAAAGAAAAGAAGTTAATAAGAAAGTTATTTTAATATCTCTGATTCCGCTGAGAAAGAAGTATCAATTTGTCAATAAAAATATTTCTAATGATCTGGTTTTACCAAAGTCATAAAATTCATGAACCAAAAGAAAGAAAGAAGAAAAAACGGCTATTTTCATAGCCACAAGCATAATAAAGGCATTATTTGGTATAAAATAATTTTTGTTATAGGTAATACATATATATCACCCCTGCTATCTTAATTTTTTTTTCTCACACAGATCAGATATATAACATATTCAAAATATGGTGTGTATCTATCTAGATGTATGTATATTCAAATAATTTAAAAGAAACCAATTTAAAAACTAAAGCGACAAAGCTTAAGTAAAAATATCTCACGATTTAAATGTTAGCAAACCCAAAAACAAATTACGTTGACGTTTGTGCCTAGTAATCTTTTTTTTAATTCTAGGTGCCCCAAGCAGTCCCTACGGTCTTATCACAGAGCACCGCGGAAGAGCATTAGAAGAAAAGTTCACGCCTTCTTTCTTACCGATGTTACAAAACTTGCTCAGAGATGGTGTTGAACCGTGTTTAAACATCTCTAGCTTCTGAGGCAAGTGCGCTTACCACTGCGCTACGGCTGCTTACCACTGCGTTATGTCAATTTATTTAATACAGCCTGACATTATTATTTACAAATTCAAAATTTTATTGGCAAATAAGACCCGTGTTTTATTTTAAATATATGCTAGGAATATACTCTTGGGTATCTAATAGTTAGATGCGTGTATTTGGAAAAATATATAGGTAAATAAACTACTAATCGAGGGGTGATCATATATATAATATATAAAGACTCAGACGCCCTGCAAATACTACGGCTCTCTATATATATGTATATATATATATATATATATATATATATATATATATATATATATATATATATATATATATATATATATATATATATATATATATATATATTTACGCACACATTATATATGCCCCACCCCTCAATTAGTAGTTTATATTATAAATATTTATATCATATATTTATATCATATATATGTCCCAACCCTCGATTAGTAGTTTTTTTACCTATATATTTTTCCAAATACACGTACCCAACATTTAAATACCCAAGAGTATATTCGTAGCATATATTTAAAAAAAAACACGGGTCTTATTTGAATATAAAATTTCGAATTTGTAAAAAATTATGTCAAAATTATGTAAAAGTAATTCAATAGATATTATTGAAATGCGGTTTTTGAAATTAAAAAATAATCGTTAAAGCATATTATTTGGAGCATTTCATCGTTTTATTTAACCAAGGAGTCTTCCATACGTATGCAGATATGATAAGGGGGGGGGATTAGTTGTTTTACTGCGTATGTACTTTATAGATGCCTCCCAATGCTTAACTAGAAATCAAGATTGCTGTGGTAGTGGTTAAACTAAGATGTAAATAAGGCCTCTTTAAGACATCGGCATGTTTAAATGAAGAAGTGGGTAATGATTTTAACATTTTTATTTAGAGTTATATGGAAAAACAATATATATATATATATATATATATATATATATATATATATATATATATAAATATATATATATATATATATATATTATTTTTAAAATAAAATACGTAAAAAATTAAAGTTTTTTTTTTTCAGTTTGATAGACAATTAAGTGCATTAGTTTAGTTCTTCAATTTCTTTTTTTCAATTTTAAATTAGGTCTCTTCTCATTCCTTACACTTCGGGGTTTGCCTTATATTACTCCCCTCTGTTTACTTTGTATTCATAACTGGCCTATTTTTTTGCAACGAAAAACATGTATGCTTTTTAGAATAAATATGTGTGATATATTGATACAATGCTTTGATCTGTTTGGCAATTGATCTACTTAAATAGAAATGTTCTTTTTAGCTTAATATTTTCTTGAGTTGCTACTTTGATCAAATTTGTTTAAAAATGTGCTATTAACGTTTTCTGCGAAAACACTCCAACATTTTATCTCTGAATTGTGGGGTTATCCTTTGAATATGCAAACATTTATATATATATGTACAAACATAAATGTGTATATATGTATGTGTGTATATATATATATATATATATATATATATATATATATATATATATATATATATATATATATATATATATATATATATATATATATATATATATATATATCTTCAAAGATATCCCCCTTACCCCAAAAATTATGTCATAGTGCTGACCTAACTATACTCCTGTGTATAAATAAATCCCCAAACTTGTCAGTCAATGCATGTACAATTTTCTGCAATAAACGCATGCACAATTTTCTGCAATAAAATATATAAGTCAGTTGATGTATGTACAGAGATATTTGCCTTTAAAATAAGTAATTCCAGTATGCAGAATGAATTATTCATATATTTAAATCACAGTTCGACTGCAAAAGAATTATATAACTTTTCATATACTGAATGATAAGTGTCATGTTGCTAGAGTTTAATTATTAAGGTTTTCCACTATCAAATTTGCCAAAAGCAAAAATCTAGAGTGAAATCAAATTACTCTTACCAACTTAAAATGTCTCTTAACAACTGAACAAAATCATCATTTTGTTAACTGATATTTTTTCAATGTAAAAAAGTTTAAATCATTTAGAATTCGATAGGTTGTAAGCTAGTAAAAGAACAACATCTTTATATAAGTAAGAATTGTGGATTTTTTATTAATAGCCAAAATGGATACAAGTTATGCTAAAGTATTTTAAAGTAATTGTTGATATTGTAACAAAGATCAAGATTAGCATTGCTTCTTTTGAATGTTTATTGATCGAAAATTTTAATGAGACCTAAGACTGTTAAATAAAGTAAAGCTGTAAAAATTTAAGTACAATTCTTTGAAATTACTTTGAAAAAAGGTTGTAATTATGAAACTATTTGTTACACATTAAGATACGTCTAAAAAGTATT